CGTTTTAATCTATTGGGATATGACGTCTGTTGATATTATCTACTCTTGTGTGTATTTAAAATGTTTACAAGCTCCTGATTTGCAAGTTCCTACTAAACTTCAGGGAAGTCATGATTGTGGATGGCAACGTATACCAATACATCAGATAACTGTTCTTCAGTTATGTCCTCGGATCTCAAAATGCACTTCTGAACATTTTACAATTGACTTTCAACCAGATATCGTGGATTTCTTGAAGGAGACAAAGCAGATATATCATAATTGAATGGTTTGTGCTTCAGCTGAGAGACCATTGTGTGACAGGATATACTGTCAGTGAATCTATATTTTACTTGAAGATATTGTACGAAGAGAAAATAATAAACTCCTGTGAAAATTCTGTATATTTTATAAATACTGTCCAGAATAAAGATGTATTATTATTATTCACAGGACCACTGAAAGCCGACAGGGAGTATTGGACAGCTGTGTTCGTCCTAGTTTAAGACAAAGTAGCCTAGAGTTCCCATAAGACGTCATGATCAGTGGGGTCTGTTCGGTTGGCAGCGAGGACAAATACTCGCCGTTGACACTGACTGGTTATAGCACTAGAAATCACGAACTGGTACAAGTTAGAATTCATGGGCTGACCATTGAGTCGTGTCCCAGTGTCTGAACGGTCGACTAGCTTTCCACATAAGCGGAAGGTCCTGATGGTGGGTCCGTAGTGCTGAAGAGTCCCAAACTGGGACAAAACAGCTGTCCAGTACTCCCTACTGGTATTCAATGGTTCTCTTACTGATATCAGTCGATGATCGAACTTGGATGCTTTCATGTTAGGTGGTCAAGGAAGATAGACATGAAATATTCCTTGGAAATCAACTACTTTTATCTAAGCCAGAATTATCACGTTTTCAAATGACTGTTATGCACTGGATACTGACTGCATCACAATATAATTAATCAGTCCTCCTCAAAGTGTGTTAACATTGTGATATAGTGAAAGCTTGTCGAGTATTTAATCAGTGGTGAGTTAGTTAGAACGCCTATCTTCCACAATAAAGTTTCGAGATCATTGTGTAAGGACTTTTAGCAAATATCAATAGTCCCTTTTCTCATTAACCTGCAAATAATTTAATAAGTACGGGTTCAGATCATTTAATCCATACACTCCTAAATATTATGATTATTCAGAAGGATTTAGGAATTAATTATTGTAAAATAAGCAAATATATCATGAAGTATATTTTTAAACGTCAGGAAATATATAGACCATAGTCATAGAAGTTATCCCCTTTCAATACTACTACGTAATTCATTTCATTTTGAACTTGTAATCATTGAAAAGTGCTAAAAACAAGTAAGTGGTGATTGGTAGATGGTAACTAGCAGTGGAATCCAGGATGCACCACGTTTCGTCCCATTTGGGACTCATCAGCCAGCCGGATATATCTGCATTCCCCAGTGAGTGATGGTGCTCATCCTGGATTCTACTGCTAGTGACCACCCACCAATTGACTTCAAGTTACATGACCAGACATCGTCGAAGCATTTGCACAAGCAGCCGATATGTCAGCCTGAGACTGAGCACTTTGGTTCAATCAATCGACAGGAAAGCCTAAATTCAATTAAATAAGTTAGTGGTAAGTTTCTACGCTTTAGTGAGCTAAATCGTCCGTGTACAATCTAGTCACCGACAGATGAATTTTTTCCTTAAAAAAGTTACCTGGAAGTTGCTAATAAAATTACAGTAGTCCACCGCCCTCTATCCGACTGAGAAGATAATTATCAAGAAATGGAATAGAATCTAAGAGCCATTCATAAAGAAGAAAACAGCGTATACTCAAAATACTTAATCCTCTTCTGATAAAGATGCAAAAGCTCCCTCTAGACATTTTTACATTATAAAGGTATGAAAACTTGAATTTAGATTATGGGATTTGTGGGGATTTGGACTAATTTAATTTCAGTTTGTTAGATTTTATCATGAACTAAAATCAATTAGAGAAATCATTAAAAACCAAGGAGAACTGAACAAGTATTTAGACCTATATTGGAATTCTTCGTCCGTGCCCACCCCAGATCCCACCAGGAATCAACCTCGGGACCTACAGTTTACAGAGCCAAGTTCGATGAACACTCAACCACTTGAGATGGGATTCAGTGACCTGTGAATTCTAACTCTGTCAACTTGTGATGTAGCACCGTCCTCACAATGTCTTAGATAGCACCACTTCACCTTGACTTGTGACCACATGTCGGACTTTTCTCTAAGTTCAGGAAATCCATCCGTGTCATCAGTAGCTGGATTTTAATTTAGACTATAAGATTTGTAGGATTTTATTTTAATTTTATATTTCTTTGGGTTCCGAGTGGGGCTTCAAAAATATCTCTCCACTTTGTTATATTTTCTGACGTCCTTTCCAGCTGACTACAAGAGTGACTATAATTTCTCATCTTCTCCTCCCCAACACACGATCTCCTCCATGTCACCCTCACACTGACGAACTACTCATCGCTTCCCATTCCGATTCTACTCGAGCAATGGCCTGCATTGCGCGCGATGTCATTTGATGGCCTCCCTCCTCAACGTATGACACATTCATCTCCATTTTCTCCTACATATTTGTTGAGCAATCGGCTCTTACTTGTTGGTTTGTTCCCAGCCAGAGTTTCTTGTTGCTAATTCTTTCTGGCCTACCGACTGGCCATTTGATCTTCAGTATGGAGCCAGCCAGGAAGGTGGCAGCTGTTGATAAAAGTCTTCATCAGCCTGTTGAAAATGGTTTTCGTGGAGCGCAGTGCAAGTTTCTGACACGTATAGAAGAAGAAGTGACTTACTTCACGTTCCGAATCTTGTTGTTTATGCTGAGGCGGAGTGCACGAGACATCCAAACTGGTTTCAGGTTAATAAAGGCGTATCTTGCCTTTCCGATCCTTTACTTCACTAAGCCAGTAATGAGACTAGTAAAGAGGGAAGTTTGAGCATAAGGCTAGCAACCCCATCCCGTAGAAATAAGAAAACAAACATCACTGCTACCGAAAATTCAAGCCTCTAGCTTGCAGCCACCCTATGTTTCACTGGGAACGTAAAGGAATAAAAACAAAACGAAAAATCCTGCAATGACTATGAGGTCAGCTACATAGATCAGACCAGTAGATTCGAGTTGTGCAGATTATCGGAACTCGAGAACTTAACTAAGTAAAGTATGATTAACCCACGAAGATGAGTAGTCTCGGGAAAACCTTACCAATCTCAGTGCATGTATTAACATACAGTCACACAATAGATGGGTGCAGATCTACAGTCCTAAAACGTAATATAGGTTGGTGGAGGGAGAGGGTGATCAGTGAATCCCTGTTCATCGAATCTACACCTAACATGTGCAGTAGGAATGAGACGGCACACCAATACCAGAAATATGGAAAATATTACTACCAATAAAATCGAAGGATAAGAAATAGCGAAATATTTCAAACAAAATTTGAAAGTTATCTGAACACTTTGATATGAATATGAGCAATAAATTGTGTTCAAAACATCATCAATAAATAAAACTATATCAGTGGATGATTTTATCAAATAAGTATTTCTCATGATGAAAGATTTAACGCTTAACAAATTTCGAAAGTTATCGAGTGTAGTTTTGCAGAGATTTGATTGGTTAAAGGTCTGATTGAGAGTTGATATCAGTTAGAGAACCATTTAAGAACCACCAGAGAGTACTCGACAACTGTTTCATCCTAGTTTGGGACTCTTCGGCAGTACACACCCACTGGGAGAGCTCGTTGACCATTCAGTCATTTGAACCCGATCCAGAGGCCCATGAATTCCATAAGAGATTAGTTACTCGCCTATAACACTGGCCAGCAGTTGCGCTATATAAGTAGGTGAAATTCATGGACCATTGAATCGGGTCCCAGTGGTTCAATAGTCTACAAGCTTACCTTGTATCTGGAAGGCTCTGAGTTCAAACTCTGACACTGGGTGCACGCTGATGAAGAGTGGCATACAAGGGCGAAACAGCTGTCTAGTACTCCTAAATTTAGGAAATTTCACTGGGATAAAAATAAGCACATTTACCCACAATTTGTTGCATCTTTCAACACATTAAAAGCATCCACATCCTACACGCGATTAGTATTCCTTAACTAATCATTTTAAAAGTTTCCGTTTGATTCTATCTATTGAAAAAAGCCCATCTTAAACATGCTGTTTTGTTTACACAACATACTATTCACAATCGAAAGTGATAAGGTAAATAAGGTCAATCGGTGAAACAAAAAATAAACAAGCCTTTAAACATGATACTGTTGTATATTTAGACACAGTGTATGTATATATATGTGAGTGTGTATGATTGTATGAATTCTAATATTGCACAGCAATATTATTAATATCATTACAAGTATTAATAGTTTTAGTTCATAATAGCATAACTGGTAAATATGTATAGATATATAAAGATGTATATAACTAAGTTACTCTGTGTACTAATAATGTGCGTATTTATTGTTCTGCCTTGTTTGTTTTATTGTTTTTCAACTTTACGACTCTTGAAGAATAACAAAACAAGTATAGATATAGATAACTCTGTCCCACTCTCCATCTCTCCCTCTGGGTCTGTTTCGTCTCCTTCAGATAAACATCTCAACATCTACTTTGATTTCACTCTCTCTCTCTCTCTGTTGGCGATAATAAATGAGGTAAAAATAGACAATTACAAACTCAAATTACTACACACAAAGAACAATATACTGACAATCAAAAAGAAGAATAAAATAAAAGAATCACTTTTCAAACTGGCCTCATTTAGGATAAATTCCATCATTCCTGAAAAGTACAATTAGATATTTTGTGTTATTAGTAGTATATATGAATGTATTAGTGCAAAATAACTTGTATCTTTTGTCGATAAAGGGTTTTTTCATATGCATTTGTGTGTACTGTATATTATTTGGTAAGTCATTTCATTAGATTCAGCAAAGACTCTGTGCAGGAAAACACAAAAAACAAACAATTACATAATAGAACATTGATTATTCCTTAAAGCATTTTGTACAGCTCTAGCAGCTGTTGCTTTATGCGCTTGTTCTCGATTCTCTAAAATACGCATTAATTCTCTGAAAACATTCATGACATGCCAATTGTATTTAGCAGAACATTCAACAAGCACAGTACGTTTCCATTGTTTTTTAATAATAATATTAATATCACGACGTATATTATATCGATAACTGGAATTTGTTGTTGATGTTGTACTCTGTGACAATGCTGGTGTAGATGTAGTCATGACACCTGAAGATGATGTTGATGACGATGAATAAAATGATGGGATAAACTGGGATGAATTTAATCCACCACTAGAGGAGGTTTGTTGTAATAAATCGATTTTATTCGCTACTAACAATAAAGGGATATCATTGAATTCAGCGATAATCTGATCACGTAAATGACGTATATACTGAAATGATGATTCAGAGTTCACATCAAATACTAATATGAAAGCTGTAGCATTTCTCAATCCCCAACCACGATAACTTTCCCATTCATCAACAGAATTTGTTGGAAATTTTTTTTCAATCGGTGGACAATCAATTAAACGGACATGATATAGACGATCATTGAATGATATCATAGGATCATAGTATACTGGACGATTACGTGTTGGTATAGGATTTCCGGGATCAATACAATTGATAAATTGTTTCACTAGTGTTGTTTTACCCGATTGACGATTACCAAGGATTGGAACACGTAAGATATGATCAGATGTATCGACAGGGGATATATCATTTATTTCAATAATAGGTGTACTGTTATTAGTATTGCTTAGAACAGTTAAATTATTATTAGTAGTATTAGTATTATTAATAGTCGGAGGAGTAGGAGGAGTAACATCGATTTGATTGAGTGAAGGTTTAACAGAATTAACTGTTGAATTAGTGTGTAAATCAAAAATCCCTTTCAATGGTATCCATTCACTCAGTTTTGAAGTTGACGATGATGGTGTTGTTGTTGCTCCTGTTGTCTGTTGTGCTGATAATGGGGAGGGGATTTTTATCCGTGGACATGTAAATTTTACATGATGACCAGTGAGAAGAGTTTTTCTTTCTGATTTCTTCCCAACAGGCTTAGTTTTATCATAATCTGTTTTATTTACAAAATTTAATGAATGTACATTATCTTGACGTAATAATTCATTTTGATTAATAAGTGATTTAATAATTATTCCAGAAGAATTATTGATTTTAGCTGTACAGGTGATTGGTTTATTATGCTGTCTACGTGCAGCGACCGCTGCTGCTGCTGCTGTTGCTTGTCCTGTCGCCAATGGTCCTCCTCCAGGAACAGTAATAACTGAGATATTACCTTTCTTCTTCTTATCCAAAGTATCATCATTGTCTTCTTCGTCAACCGTGCTAATTTGTTCCCAACCAGCAAGCCGAGCAGCGGAGCCACTACGTAATCGTCTGAGCTTGAAAATTTGGTCTGTGATAATTTATACACTGAAATTTGTCCGTAAGTAATAATACTAATAATAATAGTAATAATAATAATAATATCAAATATATCCAAATGTTTTGTGCCTGACAAATGCATACAGCAATTAATATGCATACAATAATAGTAATAATAATAATATTGAAAATTGATTTTACCGCTTGTTTTCTTTTCGTTTGTTTAAATAAAAACGTCGTTACATTTATGATTCAATGGATTAAATTTTTAAACTGAAACTGGCGGTAGTTTAAAAGTCCATCAGAATCATTGATAAAAGTATTTTTTTCTCACTTTCATAAGGAGGATAAATAATATACATAAATATATAGTGTTTCTAAATATTTACATATATTCACATTGAAATTCTGTAGTGTTAACAATTATAAATTGTTGTATTCCAATGGAAACGTCGGTCGCCTTTATCACCTACTACTTCAGTAGTAGTAGTACTGTGAGAAAAACTTGAATTTTTGTTTAATGATTGAAACTTTTTGCTTGAAAATCAGAATTAATAATTTTATTGTTTGTTATTTTTTCCACATCAAAATAAATTTTCAATCGGTCGACAGACTGACTAACTGACTGACTGACTCAATGAATGAATAAGTGAGTGTAGATGTGATTTTGAGAGTCGAATGAAACTCACAAGTTGACCAACGGCACTAAAAAACCGACTATATACAACTTTAAACAATAAGCGTAAACGCTAATGTATGTGGACATATCTATGCATATATATATATATACATATATATGCCTACATAAATGAATACTGTATGTATACATATATATATATATATATATATGTATATACCTGTTTCGTTTGCCATTCTATGAATTGTCTTCAACAAAGAACCAATAAATATCGTTGAAATATAGTGGGATGGTGGTGATGTTGGAGGTGATGTACATAATTCGTATATATTATAAAATCATTTTTTAAAGCTAGTGAGAGTAGGGCAGACATCAAGACACAGTAAGCGAGAGAGACATAGAGAGTATCCAGTTGGTTTACAAGAGTAGTAAAGTATGAAAATAGTAAATCACTGTGTGTTATAATAATAATAACAAAATGTGGGATGTAAATTTTTAAGTATGGTAATTAGGTGGACAGAAATAATAATAATAATAATGAATGGTGTATGACGTTTTGTGGTTGATCTACTTTTTTATAATTAACACAAAAATATGCATTTTTTTTGTTTTCAAGAGCTATAGTTTGTAGCGATTTGGATTTGTTACAAGTTTGACTACGGATTGGTAGTCAGTTAGTGAATCATTGAAAACTAACAGGGAGACATGGCAAGGTGTTTCGTCCTTGTTTGCCACTCTTCATCAGTACGCACCCACCGCCATGGTTCGAATCCATGACAGTACAAGTCAATAAATGGCCCACTGGTCACACTAAAATCATGAACCAGTAGAAGTTAGAATTCATGAGCCATCAGGCCGGCTCCCAGGAACTGAATGGTCTATAAGCTTGGCTTGTTATCAGAAGGTTGCGGTTTCGAACCCTGGCAGTGGGTATGTACTGATGGAAAGTGGCAAACTAGGGTGAAACAGCTGTTGAGTACTCACTGTGGCTGGTTTCCAACGGTTCTTTAACCGATATTAATCCGTGGTCAAACTAGAAATATATATAATAATAATATCTTCATTCTGGACAGTATTTATAAAATGTACAGAATTTTCAGAGGAGTTTATTGCATCATATTTTCCCTTAGTACAATATCTTCAAGTAAAATATTAATTCACTGACAGTATATCCTGTGACACAATGGTCTCTCAGCTGAAGCACAAACCATTCCATTATGATATATCTGCTTTGTCTCCTTCAAGAAATCCACGATATCTAGTTGAAAGCCAATTGTAAGATGTTCAGAAGTACATTTCGAGACTCAAGGACATAACTGAAGAACAGTTATTTGATGTATTGGGATACGTTGCCACCCATAATCAGACCATTCCTGAAGTTTAGTAGGAGCTTGCAAATCAGGAGCTTTTAAACATTTTAAATACATACAGGAGCAGATAATACCAACAGAGGTCATATCTCAACTGATTAAAACGAACCGAACGAGAGAAAATATATGCAATGGGCAGATGGAAACATTTAGTAACCCAAGTTTTAAGCAGGCCTCCAGTATATTATATATATATATATATATATACAGCTTTTTCAAAATTCTTTTGCAAAAGTGATTTGATAATCTTCAGAATTGGAAAGACTTCTCAACTAGAGTTAGCCACGAGAGAATTAACGTTCACAGAATTTAAATTTTTAAACATATATTAACAAAAAGCAGAAAGTCTAATAGTTATGTTAAATCTGTAAAAGGTACCAATTTTTAAATATGAATAAAATGATGAATAGGTTAGAATATAGAGTTATTAATATAAAGATATTGTAGCGACTAAAACCGACTCGTTATGGTTTCAACGCAGAAAACTGATCTCTACATTCTACTCTACAGCCAGCAAAACCTCCTTGAGACAGCTGCTGTCATATAACGCTCCAAAGACAGAAAAAAGACGATTATTCTGGAATAATTTTGCAGTTCTACTAAACAATAATAAAATGAAAGACTCAAATTTACCCCCAACAATGCCGTTAAGCAGCTATGCAGCCTTGTCTCAGTACAAAACATACACTTAGAATCAAGTAGCGTATTCCCAAAAAGGTGGGGTGAAAACTGTATCAGCAAGAATTATGAGCTAGTAAACTAAGCGAGGTCTATGAGTGCATCGATCAATTATTGAAGCTGGATAACCCACCTGTCTCAATTATCAAAACACAACCTAGTCCTGATGTGAGAAACATCAGCAAACAACATGGAATTCCTACCCTTTTTCTAGTAAACTACTGTGTATCGGAATAATTGTTTGGAGAATCCCTCCTCAACGATCTGTTCACAATATTCATAATCCTTTGGATAAATCCATCAACTTTGTAATTATCATCCTCTTTTCCCCTAGAATGAATATCATTCTTCTAACGTTTGCATATCATACTTTAACCTAATCCTAAATATTTGTCTTTGTTCCTGTTCAGTGTTTAATTTTAATGCTTCTCTTTGTGGTAATCTGTGATGCTACTGATAATGTGTTGCTTTACGAGTGCAATTTTGTTTGACTGAGCCAAGATCATTCTCACCTTGGACTGTTTGAAGGAATTATTTGGTGACTGACTTTTGATGACAGAGTTTCGAAATCATCTCGTTGGGAGGATTCTTCTTTAATCCTCAGGTACTTGTTACAGTTGATTTTGGCAACATAATTCTGTTGTATAGTACTTGTTTTGTATTCAAGAAACTGTTGGATCTGTTCAGCCGCCTAATGTCATTGTTATATCGCTGTCGTTGGGGCGTTTTGTGACTGTGGGTAACTCACGAAAGTGGAACACGGAGACTGATTTCCTGCGTTCAGACCACAACACGTTGGTTCTGGTCGTTACATACTGTACTCATATATGTCTGAATTCATTTAACTTGTAACGAAGCATATTCAAAACTGACGTCTTTTTGCTGATTTGAACGATTTCATTAGTTATTCAGAAGCTTCATCTGCAAAACACTTTGTGCTGGATTCCGCCTTATTATTTCTAGTTATGAATTTCGTTATGAAATATTACAAATGGAAGAAGCCCCGTATGTCTCCTTCCTCGAAAGCAGCCGGCCATGGGATCTTCATTGTCTGGAGGCAGCGACATCAGCTGTAACGGTGGAAGACGAACGACTTTGTATCTCTATATAGCGAAATTAGGTACACCGTATCTTCAAAGCAACATTTGCACAGATCTTCTGTGTTGCACTACTTCTGGCCTTCCTTCATATTGTGTATGTTTCTTTGTGTTCTGTTCACATCTCACAAATATCTACACAACGCTGAATCATTTGCTTTCTCTGACATCAAATCTATCTCCCTGCTATTTGATGTTTTTATGCCGATGAACGTCTCTCTACATACTACTAATAAATCTTATCAGTAACACACGCCACAATACCACCATTATTAGTTGGTAAACAGTGATCATCCAGACTCGATAATCCCTGAATCATCAACTCAGAATGTGTTCCGTCAAAGTAAACTCATATCTGCAGTTTCCAGCATAGGTGAATTGTTAGAAAAAGTTGA